TGTAGGGAGATTGTGCCTGCACTGTCCCAGACAGGTGAGGAGTACATGACCATAACCACTTCTGTCTCACTGCCTGAGGAGCATTTGAGGTGAGGAATGAGGGCAGAAACCCCAGGCCCCAGTGCTTCCCTCCAGCCAAAAGCCAGGCTGGAGGAATAGCGGGATCCAGGAGGAGGTGGCAGCAGCACAGAGGACGTGCTCGATCCCAGAGCAAGCAAAGCAAGCCAAGGCAAGCATGGAGCAGAACCAAGCGTCCTCAGTTGCCTCCATCCAGCCCAGCAGGAGGGCAGAGAAGAACCAGTGTGAGCAGCACAAGGCCCTGATGGTTGGTGAGATGTAAGCAGCACCTTAAAGCCACTACAAAACAGGGAGCTGCACCAGCTGGCCCAGCTGCCAGCCACACTGCCCAGGATAAAGGCACTGGCCCAGCTTCTGCTGAAACTGGCCTGGAGCTAAAGCAACAGTAGGAGGCCAAGCTCCTTTCTTGCCTTCGCTTTGATCAACCATGAGAGAGTTAGTATCAAAACAGGATGGGATTTCTGAATTAATATTCCTTGGCAGAGAACCGGGGTTGTTTCAAGCCATTGTCTCACAGCCCCAGATGCCTCCCTTGGCTTGCACCAGGGGAGGATCAGAAGCCACAGCTCTAATGTGATCCCCGGCAAAAAAAACACGTTCTCCTCCTGTGGCCAAGGCTTCATTTGGCATCTCCACAACCAGTGGGTGCAGCTGGAAAAAACCAAGGCAGGGAATTAGCTCATCTGGGTTTGCCTGTGCCCGAGGAGCAGCCCCGCGCAGCCACCGCCGGTTCCCACAGAGCCGCTCCCTCCTGCGGCCGCGGCGCTCCCTGATAAGGAGGAGCTGCTCCTGCCAGCACAGCTCCACCCCACCCGGCTCTTAGCAAACCTCTCGGGGTCCTGTCCCACTTGGGTAAAGGGCAGCCAGAGCCCCAGCCTGCCTGTCCCCCTCAAAAGATGGGTTTTCACACAGCGGGTCAGGGGGAGGCTTCCCAGCACCCCTTTATGCAGCAGGTCTCAAAACTCCAATTATTTCCCATGACTCAAGGGTGTAATAGGATTTTTTGAGGCCTTTTGCTTCCAGACTCTGCAGCTCATTTCATTTGCACCTCTGTCATTCCTGTGTGCACACACTATAGAAGGGATTTCACGCCTTCTGAAGCACGAGACGTGGCTGTGGCAACGCGTAACCAACAAGCCAGAGCAGAGAGGAAGAAAACAGCTTTTGAAATCGTAGAAAGAGCTGGATATAACAGAGAGTGCCCAAGCAGAGGGCTGTACTGACCCCATTTTGTGTTCTGTGCAGCTTAAAAGAAAAGTGCTTTGGGCAGCAGGCACAGAAGTAGGGTCAAGTCAGCAAGATGATAGAGCCAAGGGGTGTCTGAGTCCTCCCCACTCCATCTGCCACCCCATTCATCCACAGAGCACAAGGAATCAAGCAAATCTCTTGCTATAAACCAGATCTGCCTTTGTAAGCTTTGAAATAAACCCAAGGATTAAAGTCTCAGGACTTTTTTGTTGTTGTTGTTTTGTGGTGCATTATTTTTATTGGTTTTTGAAGTCAGCAACACACATGAAAGAGCACAGGGGTGCATGTGAAACCCAGAGCACAGCACAATGCAGGGGGAGGTGATTTCTACTGGAGCAGCAGCCAGAGGCCCCTGGAAGAGGCTGTGTAAACAGACAGAGCAAGCTTGTCCACACAGCTTCATCACTTCAAAGAGGCCGGTGCTGTCAGCCAGCAGACACGCTCACCACGCGTGGGTACAGTCAGCAGCAGCAAATTAGGAAGCAAGCAAACCCATCCTGCTAGGATATGTATCAGTAAAAGCCAAAATAAAATAAAAATAAAAGCCAAACTCTTTAACTTTTCTCCTGTAACAAAGCACAGGAGGCCTGAGCAGAGCTCACAATCTAACAAGGTGAGCTGAAAGCAGAGAAGAAGGTTTGGTCCCCCCATCCAACAGAAGGACATTAAAAAGTACTCAGATTATATCATCCAGTCCTGACTCACTGGACAATAATTGTAGCAAGAGGTCTTCTGTCCTCCAGTCTGCCAAAAATAGCCCTAATAGCAAGTGCAGGTTTATTTGCCATTAAGGGTAACTGTGTTCCTTAAGTGCTGCTGATGATCTAACCTTGGCAAGCAGGTTCCCCTGGTCCCCCCTGCTCCACAAGGGGATGAAGTAAGTGGTGGCACCATTCTCCAAATTCTGATCCTCCATTTATTCTTAATCATCGTGATTCTAAAAGGCTCCCATTGTGAAGCTTAAGGCCTTTGTCTGGTGTGTGTTCATATGGCCTGACACAGGCCCTGGTCCCCAAAATCAGATTGTCTTCGTTAAGCTCTTCCAATAAGAGATTTCCTGTGGAGCTCAAGGACCTCTAAGCGGGTTATGTGCCCATAATTTCTGGCCCTGTTACAAGGAGTCTGCAGTCTTAAAGACAGGGCATAAGACTTAATACGTGCTTTCAAATTGCTTTGAGGAGTGACAGAGTAAACAAACAATTAGAAAATAAAATTCATCTTAAAAAGAGAAGTTAGAGCTGTTTTTAAGGCTGTTCTGCCTAGATTAGTTTCTACCCTGCTTTTAGCTGGAAATTGCTGAGAGCATTTAGATTTCAATTAAAAAAAAACAACCAAAAAACAATAAACCTCTCCATAGCAATGGGCCAGACTAGATTTGTAACTGGTTTGACAGGAATTAGAAGTTCAGATAGGCTTTCAAACACTCTGGCCCTCTTTATCCAAATGAGGTTCAAAACCAGTTAAGCTGGAAATTTTACAATAAAAGGGGAACGTTTGGCTTTCAATCACGGGTTAAAACTCAGCATGGACAGACCAAGCTGCTCACAGGGACTTATGCTTTTCAAGAGTCAGCAACTCAGGGTGTTTTATGTACACCCCAGAGGCAACTGTTCCCACGCTACAGTTTGGCTTATTAGGGTTTTGGGGGTGACGAAACCTTTTTTAGTCTGCTGGGCTGAAGTTCATAAGGCATGAGACACAAAAAGCATTTTAAGCTGTCCTCGAATACCATTCGAGTCAGCTGCCAGTCAAACAGCCACAGTGTAAATCTGCACCCCCTGCTACCAGCAGCAAAATAGTCACACAGAGTTAACATTCAAATCCTCCTGATTAGAGGGTCCCACAGGTTGCTAAATTAGCTGTCACTTCTCCCCAGTGGTCCCTCCCCAATCACCCTAGCATTTGAGAAGGATTTGAAGGTTATCTCTGTAGATTTGGGAAGCCAAGGGCTGGTTTTCTTTACGTTAAGGAGAGAAAAAAAAAAAGTCTCTGGGAACAGTTCTGAACTGTAAAAATAATAGATGTATTGGGAGGGTTCAAATCTCATTATCTTGCTCTGCTGGAGAAGGCATAGACAGTTGTGACAGCAGTGCCAGCAGCCACCTGGTTGCTAACACCAGTTAAACACAATTACTGGGAATTTAAGGGGGAAGAAAAAAAAACCCAGGGTTAAGCTGGGCTAGTACATTTAATCACAAGTGTAATTGGTAACCTGGGTCTGACCCCGGGAACAGGCCTAGCAGGCAGGGTAAACAATAAGGCAAGAGTCTAAAGCCCAGCCTACACTTACAACTAATAAGTCCTTTCAAAACACACAGTTGTGAAATAAGACTCTGACTGAACCGTGTGAAATGCAACTGGGGGGACAGGGAGGACAAGGACAGAAAACAAAGCCCTTTTAACCTGCTCCATCAGCCCACGTTTCACCACACGGATCGATTCCCGGCTGTCTAGACCCCAGGCAGGACCAGCAGGAAACATCTTCATGGTGGGCCCAGCTCCTAGAAGCTTATCCCATGTGACTCCCTGGCACTGGGCTTTGCTAAGCACCTCACCACCTATTTTGGTGCCTGAATGTCTTTCGTCAGCCTGGTCCTTTGTTGGGTCTGTGTCCCCTGTAACCTGACTCCCCACCCAGCTCCCAGTGCCTTGGGATTTGTGGACAGGACATGTCAGGACACATTTTGGGCATGTCTG